CGGGGGAAAGAGGGCTGCAACTACCGTTGCATTCGCAGCTGCTGTCACCGTTGCCGCTACCGCTAACTAGTTTCGCCGTTGCCGCTGCATCGAAGGAGATTGGGCGAGGGTGGAGAGGGGGGGTGGGGGGAAGGGGAGAGGGAAGGGCGAACGGAAGAGGAGGGGATAGGGGACGGCGAGGGGGGAGGGGGCGGGAGGGGGGGCGACGCGGGGGGGGGAGGGGTGCGGGGGGGAGTGGGGGTGAAGGGGCTGTTGCGAGAGGAGCGCCTCTTCCTCCTCACCCTCTTCCTGACCGTGCTCCTACACTCCCCCTCCTCCTCCTCCTCCCCATCCTCCTTCTCCTCTCCCTTGCTCATGGCTGCATGTGCTTGCGTACGTATGCATGTGTCGGGTCATGACTGCGTGTGTTTGTTTGCGTCTGAGTGCGCTCAGGTGTGCCGCCGTTTTGTCGTGCTATGATTGGATATGTCTGCATCTGCAGGTTAGTCTCTGCGTGTGGATGGTTGTGTTTGCGTGTGTCTGCATGTGTCTGGGTGTGCCTGACTGTATCTGTTGCGTCTGAGTATGTCACCTGGTGTCTGATTGCGTCTGCGTGTGTCTGTTTATGGCTGCTGGTGTCTGATTGTGTCTGCTCATGTATGCTTATGGCTGCTTGTGCCTGGTTATGCCTGCGTATGCCTGGTAGTGCCTGCGTATGCCTCTGTGTGTATGTGTGTGTGTCCGAGTGTGTCGTAGTGTGTCTTATGGTGTCGTATTGTGGCTGGTCGTGTCTGCATGCGTTTGTTCGTGTCTGCGTGTGTGTACAGATGGCTTCTTCTGTCTGGTAATGCCTGCTCGTGCCATCATTTGTCTGACTGCCTCTGCTGGTGTCTGCTCTCTAATTGCCAACGGCATTATGTTAGCATTCAGTCGCTCTACAATTGCGCTGGCAGTCGCTCGCCTTCCAATTGTCCGCGGCACGAACGGCAGTCGGTCGCTCTCCAATTGCCCGCGGCACGAAGAGGGGATGTCCGCAGATCCTGTTGCCCCTGATCTCCCTCCTCCTCCTCCTCCGAATCCTCATCCTCATCCGTCCTCATCATTATCACTCCTCCTGCTCAGTCCTCCTCCTCCGCATCCTCATCCTCATCCTCATCCTCCTCCAAATCATTCCCCTCCTCTGTCCGCCAGCGGCGGCGGCGGCGCCCCCCCTCTGCTGCAGACGGGGGGTCAACGCCACGCGTTCTGGCCAAGATTTCGAGGGGGTTGAACCGCGGCGACGGAAACACCACTGAGGCCAACAGCGACAACATTGCATTCATGCACCCCCGATGCTCGGATCCCCGAAGGCGGCACGGGGAACGAGGCGACGAACTGAGGGAATGAGGGGGCATCGAGGAGGACGATCAGGAGGAACAGGAGGAGGATGGGGAAGAGGACATGAGAATGAGGAGGAGGGGCAGGAGGAGGGAGAGGAAGACGAGGAGGAGGAAGGGGGGGGAGGAGGACATGAGGATGAGGGGGAGGAAGTGATGATGAGGATGACGCTGAGTAGGAGGACGGGGAAATAAAGATGAGGATGATGGCATGAGGAGAGGAGGAGGAGGAAGTGAGGAGGAGGAGGAGGAGGAAATAAGGAGGAGGAAGAGGAGGAGGAGGAGGAGGAAATGAGGAGGCGGAGGAAATGGGGAGGAGGAGGGGGACAGGATGATGAGGAGGAGGAAGTGAGGATAAGGATGAGGAATAGCATTCTTCACAAGAGAATGCGGTCGCACGAATGTCATATCGCACGACTGTAGCATAACTCCATCTTGGCCGAATCCGAGGGCACGTCGCCCCAGACCTTCCTCATCCACGAGACCTTCGAAGGTCCCGGGGATTAGGATGCGGATGAGGATGAGGATTAGGATCCTTGTCCTCATCCGCATCCTCATCCGCATAGTCATTCGTCCTCATCCGCATCCTCATCCGAACGTGGTCCTCCTCGAGGCCGTCCTCGCCCTCGTCCTTATCCTCATCCTGCTCCACCTCATCGCCCTCTACCTCGTCCTCCTCCTGATCTTCCTGCTCCTGCGCCTGCTCCCGATGCTCCTCCTCCTCCTCCTCCTCCTCATCCTCCTCTTCCTCCTCCTCAGTCCTCCTGATTCTCCACCTCTCCATCACCACATAGTGCTCGAATTGACGAGCGAGGCGCGCTGGCGCAGCCCTCACGGGGCAACGGCCGCCTCGCCCGCCGCCGTCGTGTCGAAGTCAGCAGGGACGGTCTCAACCTGGGTCTCCGCGGGCTCCTCGTCGCCCTTGTCGTTCGCCTCGAGCTCCTCGTCGCCCGTGTCGGTCTCTTCGAGCTTCTCGTCGCCCTTGTCGGCCTCGTCGTCGCCGAACGTGCCCTCGACGCCTGTCAGCACCTTCCTGCATTCGTTCATCTGCTTCGCCACGGCGTTCGCCTGCATGACCGTCTCGAGCAAGCTCTTGCCACTCTTGCTGAAGGTGCTGGACCACTTCTGGGTGCTGCGGTACTTGACTCATGCCTCCCAGCCACCCTTTGTCTTCGGCCTCTTGTCACAGCCCGCCCTGTAGTCGCCATGGCGCTCGCATATCGCGCGAGCCTCGATGAACAATCCCTCGAGAACATCATCAGCTGGGGCCTCCTCCGCACTCTTCGCGCGCTTGGTGTCCGCCGCCGCTGCCTTCGCCTTCGCCTTCGGCTTGCGCTTCTTGCCGCCTGCCTCTTCGCCGCCAGGCGCCTGCATCTTGTGCAGCGAGCCCTTGCCCAGCGCAGCACCCTTCGTGGCAGTGGCCGCCGCGGACTTGCCCTTGCCTTTCTTGGCCTTGCCACACTTGGCCGTGCGCCTGCCCTTGTCCGTTGAGCCCGCCTTGGGGAACGGGATCGGGGGCGACGCGATCCACCTGTCACCGTCAAGCCACGTGAAACACGTGTTGCCGTCAATCTCGAACTTGTCAGTCGACCGTTTGCCGTCCTCGGTGCGGATGCAGAAGCCCCCTTTCACAACATATTCCACGTGCTCTTCGGGAGGATCCAGCTCGCGAGGCTCCTCCTCCTCGCCTTCCTCGTCACAGGACGCCACAGGAATGACGTCCTGGATGGGGGGGGGGGGCCTCCTGCTCCCGCTCACCCGCCTAACCTGGGGTGTCCCATGATTTTGCATAACGAAT